AAGAATCTATCCCAGCTAAAATAACGAACAAGTTAATTTAACACACTGTGTGCCGTCACAGATACCTCACCTCTTTCATGCCTGAAATTTTTTCGCTAACAAGTTGACTTTTTGATAAAGCACTGTCAGTCGACTTCTCCCGATTCTGCAAATTTAGAACTAATTGCCTCATCTCCCCCATCAACTGATTTATGTTAGTCGTACCCATGACTCGGAAATAATTTTCTATAAAAGATAACATGAAAAAAGTGTACTCATTATTAACCGGTTCGGACTTTATCATTGTGACTTTAACTTCAATATACAATTGGTATTCAAGATGTATAATTCATCTAACAACTCCTCTAGTGATGGAATTTTTAAATTATAACACCCCTCAAACGTGGAAATTGAGAACAATGCAAGTAAAACCTAAAAGAACGATTAAAAAAGGGGTTCAAAAGTCATAAGTTGTGTGCGATAAACACAACTAAAAGTATACAATAATCAGTCATAAACGTCAGCATTACTAAAATGTCAAGTTCTGCACATGGCAACGTTTGATAAGGTACAACAAATGCCTCATTTAAACGCTTATGTACGACTTTGCCATCCAAAATACTACAAACAAAATTTCAACAGGAAGGCACCTCAGCTCTGGAAGGTCACGTAATAGATTGTAACAAATTTGTTAAAGTCACCATGCTGACAAATTTCAAAAGTAAAACAATAAAGCTTCTTCTGTAAACTGCTATATCAAAAAATATAACCTCATACAACTAAACGCTTCGTTTTTCTCTGCATCTTCAAATGATATACTGCTTAAAATTTTGCACTCTGTTAACAGCAAAGACCAGTGACAATTCAACAATTGTAATATCAAAGTGTAAAATTTCATAAATGGTAAAATCGATCACACTGCAGCATAATTGACCGCACTTGGTCTAGAACTTTGTATAAAATGAAACTAACAACGCGTATTAACAGAATTTCACTCTAAATTAGTAACCAATAAAAGTATTGATATACATTTTAAATAAACGATTATGAGCGAAAAAAAAAAAGAAATTTACGACAGCTACGTGATACGCTTTAATGACAGAAAATAAGTGCTCATTTATGGCGAAAGACGAGAAAGCAACAGAAAGGAGAAAGCAGCACTATACAATTTAATTTTTAAAAACTAAAGCAAAAAGAACACGAAAAAACTTTCTTATCGAAAAACACCAAGTTTGTTACTCACTGAAGCCCAAAATTAAGTTAGCTTTCATGTCCATTGTTTGCCACCTCAATATCCAATGTGAGCTTCTTTCAATTTCACTAATCCCTTTTTATCACGATAGACCGATAAATGGTAATAATAATTATAACAAATGAAGGAAAAATCGTAAAATATTAAAAATAAACACGGAACTAAATTTAACACACTAAGCAATTCTGCAACAAGAATACTGCAGCTGTCGAGCATCTTCAGCAATTAATTTTTGTGCTATCAATAATTTTATGAAAACAAAAATCAACACCTCTTCTACATTTCGGTAAGAAAAAAATCCACGAAAAATAAAACGAAAAAAATCAGAAACAACTAACAACAACAAAAAATAAAAAAAAAAAACGAAAGTACCGATCACTTCACCGACTAAACAACTAAATAACATGAAATACAATAATAAAATTGACGCCAATAAGTTGCGTATATTCAGTCAATTCAAAGCAATTACTTCAAAGATAGCTAAGCTGTAATGATCTTACGGAAACCCTAAGGCAAGTTAAGCTGAAATGGCATTTTGCCAACGCCAATGTTTTATAGGCAGATTCACTTCCAATTTGGCGTGAAATTTTTTGGGAGCAAAATATCCTCAGTCCTTATACAGAGTGGAGATCACAGTTTAGCACCAGTAACGCAGATAGATGAATTGAAGGAATAAAAAATTCTGTAATTTTTCCGGTGTTTGGCGAAAAAAGTTACAGTTTAATAGTTTGTCACTGAAACCCTGAACTGTAAAGATAATGTTTTCTGCTGAAATTTTTTCTACCGTTTTAGAACTATGAGCTGAAAAAGACAACTTACAGAAAGACTTCTGGTATATAAAAACTGTATTTAGTTCTGCTTTGAAGAAAGTCGCGATAACAAGGTCTTACTTTTGCCTTTAAGTTACCATTACTAAATTTTTTTGCTACCTTCTGATGTACTTTGTTACTACGTTGTAATTACGAGTTGGAAGTTAAATTTTAGTCTCTCTGAACAATCGGTAATTGCTAGGTTAAGAAGTACATGTTTAAGTTTCCCGGTTACTGGGAGATATTTGGATCCATTTAGATCTGCTTGCATATTGAACTGAGTTCACTAGTAATTTGGCGTGAAATTTTTTGGAAGCGAAATAACCCTTGTTATGGAGAAATTCCAGCGAACTTGGCACGATGCCACTGTGCTATATTGAGATATATGGAGGATATCCGTTCGACTCCCCTATGTCAAACTTTCACGTCAACTGTGTTAACGATATGTCACCTATTGTATTTTGTTTTTTAAGGTTTATCTGCTTGTGCTTGAAACTTCATTGCTTAATTTTCATTTCCAGCAGAGATTTCAACCGAAATGTGACAATAATTTCAATTTTTACAGAGACTCTAACAGTATTGCTGTAGTAACTCTGTTAATTGCCCGTATGTAAAAGTTGTTTTTTTAAATTACCGTAAAATGTGTTTAAAATAATTCAAAGAAATGTAAATGAAAAAAAGGTGGCACCAGAATTAATCGGAAAAGACGGTCAAGAGAAGAGAGGATCAAAGAATACAGTCCCTTATTAGACAAAAAAAGTTTAAAAAATACTACTAAAAAAGTAGCGAATACTGAACCTTATATTCTGTGTCTAATTCTTTGAATTTCTGTTTCAACATCCTTCTTGGATCGGCAAGAATAGTTCTATTCCCTATAAAATACCTGATTTTGCAATTTGACTGTATTATTTCTAAACTTAAAACTTCTTTACAGATTAGTAATTTATTTCATTTCATGTTACGGAATTTCGTTGTTAAGATTTACATAATTTCCTATTTTCCTGTGAATTTATCTTCCAGTTCGTCCTCTCCAATCCATCCTAAAAAAATTCATTTCTTTAAGTACTGGTAGTTTTAATTGGATTTAATGTTCGTTTACTATGATGTGGTCTTCCCTTTCTTGAATAAAATTTAATACACGTTCAGTCTTGCATACTGTCTTTCTTTCCGTGAATAAATAAAATCTTCCTGTCTATCCGTCTGTAGGTTTCACATTAAACTATATGAGACTATAAAGTGTAGAATCAAAATCCCTGATAATAGTAAGTTTGGTATAAGAGAACTCTAAAAATCAGAATTAAATTACGGTGTTTCGATAAACGAGAAACGAGCCCTAATCCTCCAAGTTCGGTTGAGTCTAAATTCAACTTAAATTAAATTACTGTAGGGATGAGGAAGTTTCACGAAATTCTTCTTTTAAAAAAGGTATAGAAAGAGATGTACAACCTGGAAAAATGGACCTCAGCTGCGCTTTAAAAACAAAAAAATACAACAATCATACTTAAATAGAACCCATTTCTCTACCTAAATATCACACTTTATATAAAAAGTACTGCCGCCACATAAGGAATAATTATATATGTTCACATAAACACTTGGTAGAACCTAAAAATGAAAAAAAAAAGTAGCAGGCAGATGGGCAAAAGTAAGTTTTCCTAACTAAAAAAGTAACAATACCAGCAAACAAAAAATCGAACATAAAAACATATTTCGGTGAGTAACTCAGCAAAGAAACTGAATTTCATCAAAACTCAACGGGAAACCTGTCGCCAGAAGTCTTGCTAATAGAACGATGCCAAAACAACCGCAAGTCTCCAGCAGCAAGCCAGGTAAAAACGCTCTAATTTGAACTTAGGCCAATACTTGCGCAAAATACCAGTCGACTGTGCTACCGCAACCCTCGTCCCGCCGCAACAGATATTTTTGCAACAAATTAGAAATGAAATTAGAAATTCGCTTCAGTACGCGCCGACAGTCAGAGTAACAGGCTAAACTGGAAGAAATTGAAGAAAAGGAAGAGGTGGTAGGAAAACAACTAATGGAATGAAATGGTGTGTTTATCGGCTGTCAGAAGCTAACAATCGATTGACTTCTGTGGACAAACAGGAGGAGAGAGGATCTTAAGATAGTAACAGTATCAATGTTAGGACCGTACGCAGACGCTTCCATGATTCTGATCTGCATGAGTGTGCTGTGAGGAAGGAACTATTTGCCTCAACTGAAAACCGAAAAATTCCGTTGCAATTCGCCAAGCACCATTTCATTGAATATAGATACCGATCGATACCCGGTAGTCTCCAAAGATAAGAATAAGTTCATTTTGAAGGTTATTGGCAGTAAAATTTATATTGTAGGGGAAACAGGTAAAGAATTTAATCCAGCTAGATTTAGAGAAGCGCAAAGTTCGAAGATAGTTTAGCTGTGGTTTAAGAAGCCATAAGCTGGCAGCCTGGGTGCAGTTTCCCAGATCAAAGAGATCCTTGATTTGTGCATCCTTACCAGGTTTTCAAAAGACATCCTCCTGCTAAACGTAGCGAAAAAATTTCCAAAAACTAGACTCTACAGCGAAATGACGAACCAAAAGCATTTCAGCTTTTAATACCAGATTGGTGAAAAAAAAAACGAAGTTGAATTTCTTAAGTGACCTCAGCAGCGTCTCGACTTGAACTAAACAAAAATATTATGGAGAAACTTGCGCGTTTTACACCCAGAACGAAAAACCAGAGAACATTCAAGAAATTGTAAAAGTAACTGGGAAGGACCAAAGTATTAAAGAACAGAAATAAGCGATTGGTATCTTCGATGGAGAGTGGGTTGGAGAAGGTGATCATGCAAAACAGACGTTCATCGACGTAGTAAGTATTTCTTATCTTATTTAATTTCCCTCATTAATATTTTCGATATTTGCTGACCAGACTCATGGGAGCGTCTGCGTACGGTCCTAACATTGATACTGTTACTATCTTAGGATTCTATCTCCTTCTGTTTGTCCACAGAAGTCAATCGATTGTTAGCTTCTGACAGCCGATAAACACACCATTTCATTCCATTAGTTGTTTTCCTACCACCTCTTCCTTTTCTTCAATTTCTTCCAGTTTAGCCTGTTACTCTGACTGTCGGCGCGTACTGAAGCGAATTTCTAATTTCATTTCTAATTTGTTGCAAAAATATCTGTTGCGGCGGGACGAGGGTTGCGGTAGCACAGTCGACTGGTATTTTGCGCAAGTATTGGCCTAAGTTCAAATTAGAGCGTTTTTACCTGGCTTGCTGCTGGAGGCTTTCGCACCAAATTGGGAATAAATTGGCTTATAGATATAGACTCAGCATTTTGCACATAGATGACTGTTTTAGGAATGCAGTTGAAGAAAAGCTTACATGAAAAAAAAGCATAGGATCAAAAGCTGCTTGTGTGATATTGGATTTTGAAATCACTGAGATTATTCTTAACAACCTTGGTAAGCTCAGAAAGTTATCGTCAGAAGAAGCAGTGCTGGTCAAGGAGTATCTTGGAAAGAAGAGACTTACTATTATTTCTAGACATGAATTTGCTTGAACTGACTCAGGGCGTCGTAAAGAGAAACTTAAGGCTCAGCTTTTATTAGCTTTGTACTAAGTTTAATAAAGGTAAAGATCAGGAGGATTATTCATTTGAGGCATCCTCACGAAGGTTGGAAAGGAGTCTTATCAAATAAAGAAGGTTGTTTTCACCCACCTCATTTCATCTTTAGCGTGTAACTTGTAGTGGAGTAAGGGGAAATATATGAGTAAGAATAAACCTTGCCGTATGGAAAGTAACTTTAATCATGAAAGGTAGCCAATGCCAGCATGAATCTTCTACAGTGCTCTCAATAAAAACCTCTCCATCGACTTTATGAAAGAGACAACTGACAGTCGAAAACGGAGAACACGCGACGAGTTCAAAAGTTAACTGCAGCACCAACACTATATGTTAAACAAAGCTTTCGTTTCAAATTCAGGACTAAGGACGAAGATCGTACGAAAACTAGGAAACAATTCTACGCGTCTCCTCAATGCAGAAGTTTTTGGATATAGGCCAAGTTTGCGGAGTGAAGCCGTTTGTTACAGATGGACTGTCCATTATTGATGGGAAGACATGTATGTATTTTGGGCGATTGCCAACGGCTTCACAACGTACGGGAGGAAATGTCGCATGCTGGGCGTCCGAATGAGACTTTTGCGAGTTTGTTAGCAGTTGTGATGGTAGTGATCAGTGTCCGTCCGTTGGACTTTCATGCTGTTGCTGCTGCCAAAGTCCCTTTACATTTGGTGTTCAAGGAATTTCATGAAGATAGTTTATTTTTTGAATGTTTAGAAATGCGTGTATTTCCAAAAAGTTGGTTGTTAGACGGCTCGTTGGTTTATGCCAACCTAAACTAATGCATATTTTGCCGACAGCCATTTTAACAATGACACCGTTGCTGCTGCTCCGTCGATTGTTGAAGAAAGGGTGATTTCTCGTTATTGATTGGAAATCATCTTAAGATTGTTTATGTTAGGTGATTGCGCGTATAGTGAATACTTTTAGATCATTTATTGTTGCAGTTGCTGCCTGAAATGTGGATCATCATTTGTGTATCTCGAGTTTTTCTGACTGGTTTTACTGACGTGTGATCATGCTGTTTTGGTGCTTTTAATGTTATTGCTATTAATGGTGCTATCGCAAATGCTGTTGTAGCCGAACATTTATTTATCAGCTATAATAGGACTTGCCGCATTGCTTAATTCATAATCTACATCTGTTTTTACATCTGTTTTATGTGATACATTTTATACTTTGGAACTGTACAGTAGATTATTTTAGCTTCCTCTCTTTTATCAGTTCTCAGCAACTCAATATGTAAAATTTATTTTAGCATGTATATGGAGATGCTGCTGTTGGTGTTGTCTTTGCCGTCTTTTTAAAAAGCTTTTCTGACAATTTCTCCGCTTATATACGTCAGTCTTTGTATTTACGGTGATCAAACCGAAGATTTAGTAGCTTTCCTGTCTGGCGTATCATACTGGCGAACAGGCAATCTTATTACATCAAACTTGTCATAAGTATTAAAAGATCAAAATTGTTTGATGTTTTTTCCTTTTTTTTTTTTCTTCAAAGTAGTTTTGCTTGTTCTTTCTGTTTTCATTTCTGTAATTGAAAAAGGATATCATAGTTGACATTTAATGGCAGGCGGCGTACGAAAGTTACATTTCTCAAGCAGAAGTATTTATTTTTATTCAAAAATTTTTAAACATTTTTTAGTGATTTTGCTCTATTCCTGTCTACGTCTTAGTGCACCAACAGTTATTCGTTGCGATTTAGGCGATATTTTATTTTTTTTATTTTCTGTAGGCATTATTCGTTTGTTAGGAAAAAAGTTTTAAATGATATCTGATTAATTGAGTTTAGTGAAAGGGAAATTTGTCGTTGTCCAGCGAATGTCTTTATCGACAGGAAGTAAATATCTCACCATGTTTTCGAAATCATTTGGTCTCCGGTCTCATCGATTTTGTTACCTTTTTTTTTCTTTTTTTTTTTTTTTTTTT